GGCTAAACGCCATCTGCACTGAATTTAACATTTCACAAAAATGACAATTCTCAGTGAATAATGACGCAAACTCAACAGTATTCCAATGAACTAATGATTATTTCAGGAACATTTAAAATTTAGAATCTTGTTGAGAAGAATTTTATATTTTTGAAAAGTGTAGTTCTAACTTTTAATCAGTACAATGGAGTCTTAGTTCGGAGTCCAGTAATGCACAATGAAGTTTTCTGAAAAGTTTTCAGAAGTGTTCAAATCTGAGGCCTGAAAATGACATCATACTGCAGGCAGGCAGGGTACTATACGTCTAAGCATTATGAATTGTACCAGCTCAGCTTCAAAGTACACTTCTAAAAAAGATCAGTTTCAAAGTAAGCAAAAATTGCAAGCAATTGTGTCACACTAGTAAAGTTTTCAAGGTTATAAAGGGAATACGACTACATGTCATGCGCAATGAACATATTGTAGTTGAACTAATTGCTGCTCAAACTCGGTCCAGGGTAAGCTTTTGAAGCACATCATGTTACACTAACAATTTAGAAACAATGAAAAAGAACAGGGATCTATCAAGATTTGGTGAATTCAGGTTAAAAACTTCAACTTTAGAAAATAACCTAGGCAAATGGCAAAAGGTGGTCTCAGAGTTATCAAGCTAGCTGAGCATAATATTCATCTCTACCGAAACAGACAAGTACAAAACTGGTGATATATAATCATAAGCCTGTAGCAAATAAGCGATTAAAAAGGAGAAATTCCTCCAGTTTTCTGTCAACTGGGCATGACTATAAGTGTACGAAATTATTTAACAGTGCCCCCAACTTATTCTACCAACAGAACATGGAGAGTTTTGGAAACAGTAACAGCGGATTTGTAATAGTTTGTCCACTGAAATCTTCTAAAATTACTTTTTCAATTGGAAGCTTCTAGAAATTATAACCTACTAAGGGACCATTTGTGATAAAAAAAAACCTTTATATTATATTAACTTAATGTTAGATATATAAATATTAAAAGAAATCAACAATATAAAAAACATGCATGCAGCGCAGTGGGAATTTCAGGAATTTTTTCCCTCTCACTTTTTCCAGATTTATTCCTCTAAAATTACAAAAATTGCTGCCTAGAGTGACAATTCTGTCGCTGGCCTCCACGCACAGTGGCGGTGGCGGTGGCGTCTGAACCGAGAAAGGAGTTGATGCACAAGAGGAACCAGTTTGACGGCGAAAGCCAGCAGAGTGAGGAGCAAGAAGCAGAGAAGCAGCGGTAGCCAGGGCCAGGAGGAGGGTGGAGACAAGAGAAGGCCCAAGACTGAAGCAAGTGAGACTGAGCCAGACGCAATGGACCAATTGCGAGCATGAGGATTGGCCCTGACAGTGAGACTGAGGAGAAGCAACTCGAGGCTGAAGGCCAAGGAATAGGTAATGACACTAGACAGCATAAGAAGCATGAGTATAGGGTTGGTGTGGAAGAGATGTTGGTCTGGAAATCGCACCTGGACCAGCATCATGGCTGTGGGAATGGCGAAGCTAAAAATGCAATGGTGGATCATAAATGTGGAAGCTGCGGGCATGGTTTGTTCTGCTGATGATTCAAGAAAATATTATTAGTATTACTCTGAAAATGATTCATTGCCATGTTTGGCTTGGGGAGACTTGGATGACGAGGAGTAGGTGTTTTATAAAGGAAAAAGGAAACAAGCATGTTCATGGTTTTGGATTTGGGAACAAATGTGAGACAAGTCTTCGTTGGATTAAAATGTGAAGGTCTTCGTCGGATTAACATGATTGCTTCTACAATCGTATACTTTCCTGGAAGAGCAATCATGCTTTTACAAATGTTATTTATTTTTTTTGAAAATATATGGGATTAATCATCACTGCTTTTCATCCTCCCCAATCACTCTACATACATACGAAGATCTACACCATTTATCTGTGGGAGTGAGTGCGATCCATACTCTCATATCCAACCATTTAACTTTTTGGGGAATTTTACTAGAGATGATCTAAAATTTAATAAGTTTTAAGAGAATTTAAGGGCAAACTTCATAGTGGCATTTCCATTGTATGTTATAGTGTATTTCCTTTCTTTAATAAACTTTTGAACTATTTTCAGCTGTGGTATAATAAAGTGCAACCAAAGATCTGCTAGGTTGATGGAAAATTCGAAATGACTCCAGACATGTGAAAAGGAGAAATGGGCCTCTAAATATTCATGAGTCGTTTAGGCATATATTCCACCATTCAGGGTCGGAGTCATATATAGATTAGAGGTGGCCTCGGCCCCAATTCTCATGAATTCCTTTAAAGTTTTTATATGAAATTTAGAAATCAGTATGTACTTTCATATCTTTTTCAGCTATAATGTTTAGAATCTAGCTCGCACTACCACTATTTTTCCCCAACTTTTATTACTTTCTCCAACCGACTATTGACTTCTTATGTCCGAATTACATGTATCGGGACCCACTATTGACTTCTTATGTAGAGTGACTGTAGTCTGTAGATAATGCTGCCATTACATTTGACCATAACTTAAGCACACCGCTGGTGGCAACGGAGTTCTCATTTTTCTTTGACATCTTCAAAGTAATATCACTCTGAGTTTGCGTTTCAAACATCTACGCACCAGGAAGAAAGCACAAAAAGTTGAGATTGCAGCTATAAAGGCTCACATATGTATATTTGATGATAAAAGAGGTACTATGAGGAATCCTCATATATGGCAAAGGATCCCTGAAGTGTTCAAATCTGAGGCCTGAAAATGGCACCATACTGCAGGCAGGGTACTATACATCTAAGCATTATGAATTGTACCAGCTCAGCTTCAAACTACACTTTTCTAAAAAACAATGAGTTTCAAAATATGTAAAAATTGCAAGCAATTGTGTCACACTGGTAAAGTTTTCAAGGTTATAAAAGGAATATGACTACATGTCATGCGCAATGAACATATTGTAGTTGAACTAATTGCTGCTCAAACTCGGTCCAGGGTAAGCTTTTGAAGCACATCATGTACACTAACAATTTAGAAACAATGAAAAAGAACAGGGATCTATCAAGATTTGGTGAATTCAGGTTTAAAACTTCAACTTTAGAAAATAACCTAGGCAAATGGCAAAAGGTGGTCTCAGAGTTATCAAGCTAGCTGAGCATAATATTCATCTCTACCAAACAGACAAGTACAAAACTCCCCCAGTTTTCAGTCAACTGGGCTTGGCTGTGAGTGTACCAAATTATTTAAAGTCTTAATCATGGCTGCATAAATGTTAAAAACAAATTGAAGATTCCGCGCTCATATGTGGTTAGCTATTTGCTTATGTTAACTTGTTAGGTATAAACACAAACCATGACATGAAACAGGAATGGATCCTTGATATACTTACAGGCGTTGCCTCCAATAGGGTTTTCTCAATATGTAATCCCTATTAGATTGGAATTGAAATGCCTCAGAAAGTAAAGAAACTAGTTTGAATCCCAATATTCTTACACTAGGTTCTCTTTTAGTTACTTTATGAAACCCGTACTCTTCTCGTCTCCAGACAGCCACCAAATAAAATTAACACAATTCAAATTAACTAAAGTAAACTAGAACCCTCAGCAATTAGCAAACAATAAAAATAAAACTAAAGAACCCTGAATTGCATTACAAGAACACCAACTCTGTTAACCCAGCTTCAAACCCCTCGAGAATACAGAAATACCTGAAGAAATAAGCCTCACTGTTTCAAATCCTAGATTCAATTTCGCAACATCCCATCTTTGAATCCCTGGTGAAAAAAGAAAAAAGAATCGAGATCAAAATCAAAATTTTGAAAAAGAAAAAAGAAAAAAAGAGAGAAGAATAATTGAGGTCGGTCCACTTGTTTTTGTTGTTGTTGTACCGGATACGAAACAATCCATTAAACTAACATGAAAGTTAAGAAGTAATATAAGGGAATGAGGAAGGGATCCTGAGGAAGGGGAAGCACCTTGTGAGCATGGGGACCCATGATTGCTGCTTAGAGTGGCAATTCTGTCGCCGGCCTCTTTTATTATGTTCCTTTTTAGTATGAGCAAATTACATATTGGAATTGGAATTGAGAAATTAATGAGTGATTTGCTGTTATGGATTGTGATTTTGGAATTGGAACAGTCTATTTCGATTTACCCGTACTCGAGATCTTTTGTAAAATTGTCTAATGTTGGTTGTGCAGCTATAATTTTTTCCAAATGGTAAAAAGGCAAAAACAAAACATCCCTTTTCTTCTCTCTTCTTTACTTTCATCTTTATTTTTCTTCTTAAAATAAACTATAATAACCTGGCAAATGAGTCGTGTTCTTGTTAACGCGTTAAAAAAAGTGGGTTGACATGATAAGATCCGTTTAGTTAATGGGTGAAAAATATCAAACCCTAAGTATCATCAATTAAAATTCGCGAATTACACGACACGAACCGTTTCATTTCACCCGTTAATTAAAAACAAAAGAGTATTTCGTCGAGCAGCAGAGAAAAAGAAGAAAGCTGGAGTCGCTGGACCTGGTGGTTGGTGCTGTCGGCGGTGTTCCTTCGCGAAGAAGGTTATGTTGGGTTGGATTCTTCTTTCTTCTTCCTCTTCTTCCTTTTTCTTCTTTGTTTTCCTTATGCCCGAGAAACCAAAGTATCAATCGTCTTGTTCTTTTCACAGCAGAAAGTTCAATGTTCTGTTCACATAATATAAATAATTCTAAAAAATTGAGATAAATAAAATCTTACAGTATAAGGAAGAAAGACCAATGAATGCTTCTCACTCCTTGCGGTTGGAGTTTCAGAGAAAGGGTTTCAAATTTTAATCTTTCTATTTTGTATGCTTTTGCAAAAATTAATATTATATTAACTTACGTACAATGTTACATATATATAAATATCAAAAGAAATCGACAATATCAAAAACATGCATGCAGCTAGCACAGTGGGAATTTCCGGATTTTTTTTTCCAATTACAAAAATTGCTGCCTAGAGTGGCAATTCTGTCGCTGGTTTCCTCAAGCGGCGGCTGCTGCGGTGGCGCGGCTGAACCGAGAAAGGAGTTGATGCACAAGAGGAACCAGTTTGAGGGCGAAAGCGAGCAGAGTGAGCAGCAAGAAGCAGAGAAGCAGAGGCAGCCAGGGCCAGGAAGAGGGTGGAGACAAGAGAAGGCCCAAGACTGAAGCAAGTGAGACTGAGCCGGACGCAATGGACCAATTGCGAACATGAGGAGTGGCTCTGACATTGACCCTAAGACTGAGGAGAAGCAGCTCGAGGCTGAAGGCCAAGGAATAGGTAACGACGCTACACAGCATAAGCAGCATGAGTATAGGGTTTGCGTGGAAGAGATTTTGGTCTGGAAATCGCACCTGGACCAGCGTCATGGCTGTGGGAATGGTGAAGCCAAAAATGCAATGGTAGATCATAAATGTGGAAGCACTATTTGCTAAGGGCATGGTTTGTTGTGCAGGAAAGTAGGTGATAAACTGCAGCTGATGATGATGCTGATTCACAAAAATATTATTAGTATTACTCTGAAAATGATTCATTGCCATGTTTGGCTTGGGGTGACTTGGACGACGATGATACGCTCCTTATAAAGGAGAAGGAAACAGAAAGCACGTCGAAAACTCGTGAGACAAGTCTTCGTTGGAAAATGTGAAGCTCTTCAGTTCGGTGTTTACCTCACTGTAGATCAAGACCGTTGGATATTATGGATCCCACTCACTCCAACAGATAAATGGTGTAGATTTTCGTATGTAGAGTGTACGATTGTAGGCGATTGTAAAAGCATGATTGCCCTTCCAGGAAAGATACTTTTACAAATTTTATTTATTTATTTGAAAATATATTCACAATCAAATCAATAAAACAAAGCTGCTGTACGCTTACTGTATATGCCTGTCCTATATAGCTAAAAGACCTAACTACCTTAAAAGACACGACTCAAATATATTTTAATATTGACTATACTATTGTCACACATATCTCGCTTGTTGTGACTCGTGAAGACTTGTAACTATTGACAGGTTTAGGAATATTAACATATGTGCAATTTTGAAAGGCTAAAAACTTTTGGTTAATTGAATATCTAAGGTTTTTTTACCTAAATTGACCTTAAGTCCCTTCATGCATTCATATCATAAATGAAAAATTGTTTCATGTAAATTTTTTGACTAAGTATGAAAAATTGTTTTTCGGAATAATCATTTTCTCAAGATAATTTTTAGCGGCTTTTATTCCTTACACATCAAATAAGAAAATACAAATTTATAAATAAACCCAATCCTAAACATGTATTTATAAAAAAACCCAAGCACTATTTAAACATAGAAACACACTCAAAATCAACCACAAAGTCAAATTTTTGAGTGTGTTTATAAATGAGTTTTGAGTGTATGTAATGATAGGTTTTGAGTGTGTTTATATGTTTAAATAGTGCTTGGGTTTTTTTATAATTTTAACCCCCATTTTGGGTGTTTTAGTGAAACTCCCATAAGAAAACTTGATTTTATGGGATTTTATTATGAAGTATATATTGACTTAATGAGCCATCATTTTGAGCCTAAATTGTATTTTGTACTAAAACCGATTTTTCATATTTTGATTTGGTGGGAATTTGATTTTCTAGTATTTTTATTTGAATCCAAATTGAGAGTACTTCCTTATTTACATTGTAAACTTAAGTAAATGGAGTAATACGAAAATAAATTAAAGTAAAATGATAAAGAGATTGACCACAAGGACTATTTCTTTTTTGCTAAGGCATGAGGACTATGAAATATAGTTTTTTTTAGACATATACCCATTCCTACTGTTAGATATATACCATTTTTTAATTTTAAAAAAATCATATTTAAGTTAATTGTTTTTAACTAAACATTAAATATTTTTCAATTGAAAATATTGTCGGTCAAAATCTGATTGTGTGAAACCGCACGAGGACTATGGAAATAGCACCTGTAACTCAGCAGCGCCTGTTTGTTTTGTAGGCCATTTTGGCGTTCAAAATCTGACTGCGTGAAACCAAAGCCGCAGTGTGTCCATCTTCCGAGCCTTTGTACAAACTACAGGACCTTCAAATTGGTTTGACCAAAACAGGATTCAAGAGCAAAGCCTTTCGGCTAAAGATCTCCTCCACAAGTCGGGTTTTTCGTTTTTTTGTGTGTTTTTTATTTTGGTAGTGTTCACAAGTTGGACTGGGCTGAGTGCTTACCGTTTCTTTTTTTTTTAAATTGTTTTTTATTTGTCTCAAATAAGAGCCCCATTCGGGATGCCTTTTCGGTCTTGGGCTGCATATATAACAGGCCCCATGGTGGTTGAGCCCCAAATAAAAGGGAGCTTCTACAATGAGGAGTTAAAGTGAGGAGGTTATTTGAGGAGACCGATCCTACCGTCAAAACATTTAAAATATTTAAATCCCATAATTTATTTACATTTGTTGATGGTGAGATTTGACCTCCTCAAATAACCTCCTCACTTTAAACCCTCATTATAGACTTTCCGCCAAAAAAAGACCCCAAGAAATTGTGCCTCCAAGAAACTTTCACTTTGTAAAATTGTATGTTTCTTGAGATTAACCATTCGACCACAAGAAAAAAAAGTAACAAAGGAAAAACAAAACACCCTTTTTGTCTCTCATATCTACGGGGAGAAACAGAGCAGCTAATCACCTCGTTAACTTGGGGTATGAGTTCCCCTTGGGGCTTCATAATACGAGTTTGCTCCTGTCTCCTTCTCAAACTTGTTGCTGGATGATAATCTAGGAAGAGCCCAAAGTAGGGCTGTGCCTTGTTAGATTGTTTTTCTTTTCTGGCTTTGGCCTGCCTTGTAACTAAAAATAAAAAATAAAATAAAAATTCCTAAAGGTAGCCGGTGTATGCATATACTCATTGGAACGAAAGGTCTAGACCAAACAAGGACAACATTTATCATCAATATATCTGTGACGCTTTCCAGGAAACAAATTGTGCAAACAAGAACATATCCCGGATCATTTTCCAGAATGAAGTTCAACGAAATATCTGCTAGGGTCATGGAAAATTCAAAATAACTCGAGACATCAGGACATTCGTGCTGCCCGCTGATGGCAGTCGACGTTTCATTATTCTTTGACATCTTCAAAGTAATGCATCACAGTATAGCATACCACTCTGAGTTTGAATTTCAATATGATATTAAGTGTGCCCATGTTTCCCTGATGGAATGTTTTGCCCAGTTTCAAAAATCCATGCAACAGGAGGAAAGCACAAAACAAACTGGCAGTAGGATCTCCAATAAAGTGGTAACTCCTAACCAGTTTCCACTTTCATACAGTTGAAAACTTCAATAAAGAAAGGAAATCATGAGGTTTTAGTTTAACAACTTCGGCAATTTAACAGATGAAGTATTTCTCTCTCTCTCTCTTTTGCAAAGTAATCCTTTATGAGATATTGGCTAAACGCCATCTGCACTGAATTTAACATTTCACAAAAATGACAATTCTTAGTGAATAATGACACAAACTCAAAAGTATTCCAATGAACTAATGATTATTTCAGGAACATTTCAAATTTAGAATCTTGTTGAGAAGAATTTTATATTTCTGAAAAGTGTAGTTATAACTTGTAATCAATACAATGAAGTCTCAGTTCGGAGTCCAGTAATGCACAATGAAGTTTTCTGAAAAGTTTTCGGAAGTGTTCAAATCTGAGGCCTGAAAATGGCATCATACTGCAGGCAGGGTACTATACATCTAAGCATTATGAATTGTACCAGCTCAGCTTGAAAGTACACTTCTAAAAATGATCAGTTTCAAAGTATGTAAAAATTGCAAGCAATTGTGTCACATTGGTAAAGTTTTCAAGGTTATAAAGGGGATATGACTACATATCATGCGCAATGAACATATTGTAATTAAACTAATTGCTGCTCAAACTCAGTCCTGGGTAAGCATATGAAGCACATTCAAACTCAGTCCAGGGTAAGCATTTGAAGCACATCAAGTTGCACTAACAATTTAGAAACAAGGAAAAAGAATAGGGTTGTATTGAAATTTCGTGAATTCAGGTTTTTTAAAAAACACTTTAGAAAATAACCTAGGCAAATGGCAAAAGGTGGTCTCAGAGTTCAGAGTTATCAAGCTAGCCGAGAATAATATTCATCTCTACCAAAACAGAGAAGTACAAAACTGGTGATATATAACCATAAGCCTGCAGCAAATAAGCAATTAAAAACGAGAAATTCCCCCAGTTTTCAGTCAACTGGGCTTGACTATAAGTGTACCTAATTATTTAACAGTGCCCCCAACTTATTCTACCACCAGAACAAGGAGAGGTTTGGAAACAGAACAGCAGAATTGTAATAGTTTTTCCACAGAAATCTTCTAAAATTGCTTTTTTCTTTTTCCCTAAGATCAATACTTGCAGCAGTTTTTTCAATTGGAAACTTGTAGAAATTATAACCTACCTGTTCCATCACAAGCTTGACAGACTCATTTACGACATTCATCAGTCTCTCATCTTCCACTCCATTTGAACAGGAACATCACTGACATCAGTTAGCACCCGAGGGTCATTTAGTTTTTTCCCTGCATTGCCAGAATCATGTTACAATGATTTCAATTCATGCACCACCATTACATGTAATTTTGGGAAAATTAAAGAAAAAATCATCATCATCAAGAACAACAAGCATTATATATAATTGTTTGGCTTAAAGTCTTAATCATGGCTGCGCTCATATGTGGTTAGCTATTTGCTTATGTTAACTTGTTAGGTATATCACAAGTAAACTGAATTAGTAGAGATTGTTCATATATATTATATATAAACACAATGCAGAAACCATGACATGAAACAGGCATGGACCTTGCCTCCAATAGGGTTTTCTCAATATGTAATCCCTATTAGCCCTATTAGGGCATGTTTACGTATCAGTAATGGAAAAAGTAAGAAATCAAAGAATTTAGGAATAGTAGATTGGAAGTGAAATTCGAGACATCCCATCTTTGAATCCCTGGTTCAAAAATAAAAAATTTGACCCAAAAAAGAAGATAAATTGAAGGGAAGCACCTTGTGGGCATAAGAGTGACCAGATTAGGTGACACATGTTCCTGAAAGTTTTGATACAAGACTTGAGGAAAGTGGTTAGAGGAGAGAGCGACCATTTTGTCCTCTTACTTTAGACCACAAGAGAAAAAAGTAACGAAGGAAAAACAAAACATCTATTTTCATTGAGACACAGACGAACTTTTCAAGAACACCAACTCTGCAAACCCAGATTCAAACCTCTCGAGAATACAGAAATAACTGAAGAATGCCTCAACGTTTCAAATCCTAGATTCAAATTCGAGACATCCCATCTTTGAATCCCTCGTGAAAAAATCAAAAATCAAAAATAAAAAATTTGACCCAAAACAAGAAGATAAATTGAAGCACATCATGTCACACTAACAATTTAAAAACAAAGAAAAAGAACAGGGATCTATCAAGATTTGGTGAATTCAGGTTAAAAACTTAAACTTTAGAAAATAACCTAGGCAAATTGCAAAAGGTGGTCTCAGAGTTATCAAGCTAGCTGAGCATAATATTCATCTCTACCAAACAGAGAAGTACAAAACTGGTGATATATAATCATAAGCCTGCAGCAAATAAGTGATTAGAAAGGAGAAATTCCACCAGTTTTCAGTCCCTATTAGATTGGAAGTGAATAAAGTAAAGAAACAAGTTTGAATCCCAATATTCTTACACTAAAGAACCCTGAATGGCAGAACATTTCAAGAACACCAAGCCTGCAAACCCAGCTTCAAACCTCTCGAGAATACAGAAATACCTGAAGAAAGCCTCAACGTTTCAAATCCTAGATTCAAATTCGAGACATCCCATCTTTGAATCCCCGGTGAAAAAATCAAAAATCAAAAATCAAAAATTAAAAATCAAAAATAAAAAATAAAAAAATTGACCCAAAAAAAGAAGATAAATTGAAGGGAATGAGGACCTGAAAGTTTTGACACAAGACTTGAGGAAAGGGGTTGGAGGAGAAAGAGGGACCATTTTGTTCTTTTACATTTTGCTGAGTTTGCCAATAAATATTGATTGGTCGTTTGGGCTTTGTTTAAATGGAATGAAATTGTGCCTTTAGGAAACACTCACTTTGTAAAATTGTAAGTTTCTTGAGATTAACTATGGTCTATAATGACAATACCAACAAACAAATAAATCATTCGACCACAAGAAAAAAAAACTAAAAAAGGAAAAACAAAACACCCTTTTTTTCTTTGTTGAGACTAAGACGAACTTCCATTACATAAATATAGGGCAATTACAGAAAACTGCACAGGAAGGACACCGATAAATAAGGAGTATCCTAGCCAGATCAGAACTACAGGGAAATACAGGGTTTACTTTTTCTTTTTAAAATGAACTACAATATTCTAGTCACCAGACACCGTCTATCCTACTTTTGCTGCCTAGAGTGGTAATAGTGTTGTTGGCCTCCTCACGCGGCGGCGGTGGCGGCGGCGAAACAGAGAAAGGAGTTGAGGCACAAGAGGCACCAGTTTGGGCGCGAAAAGCAGCAGGGTGAGCAGCAAGAAGCACAAAAGGAGAGGCAGCCCAGGCCAGGAGGAGGGTGGAGACAAGAGAAGGCCCAAGAGTGAAGCGAGTGAGAGTGAGCCAGACACAATGGACCAATTGCGAGGGCGCAGTACGTCAGCATGGGGAGTGCCCCTGAGGAGCAGCTCGAGGCTGAAGGCCAAGGAATAGGCAATGATGCTACACAGCATAAGCAGCATGAGTATAGGGTTGGTTTGGAAGAGAAGTTGATCTGGAAATCGCACCTGGACTAACGTCATGGCTGTGGGAATGGTGAAGCTAAATATGCCATTGTGGATCATAAATGTGGAAGCTGCGGGCATGGTCTGTTGTGTTGGAAAGTAGTTGATCAACAACTGCAGCTGCTGATGATTCACGAAAATATTATTAGCATTACTCTGAAAATGATTCATTGCCATGTTTGGCTTGGGGAGACCTGGACGAAGATGATAATTAAGTAGGCTTTTTATTAACGAAAAAGCAACATCGCGTAATGTATTTACCGAGAAATTAGATTATGCGATGTTGCTTTTCGTCTGCAAGTGGAATCTTGGATGTCCAAATGTGTGGATTTCCAGCATAGGCATTTTTATGTGGAAAGCCCACAACTAGCTATCTTTTTTTGGTCAATCAACTAGCAATCTTATACCAGGCCACTATGAGAAGGTTCCTGTCTCCCAAAGCCAAATAAAAATGTCAAGGTCTAAGGCTAAGCCAATCAAAAAGCAACATGGCAATGAACATGAGAACATCTCACTTTTGTCACAAAAAAACCAAAACAAAATGTGAAGGTCAAGGTCTTTGGGGTTTACCGCAGTGGTTGAGATCTTTGTTTGCAAAGCCCCGCATTTATCTAGAGGCAGCTGCAGTGTAGATCAAGACCGTTGGACACTGTGGATCGCACTCACTCCCACAGATAAATGGTGTAGATCGTCATATGTAGAGTGATTGGGGAGGATGAAAAGCAGTGAATTAATCCCATATATTTTTAAATGAATAAATAACATTCGAAAAAACATGAGAATGATGCTATTCTGTTATATCTTCCTGGAAGCATAGACATATACAAGTGCCTTTTAATTGGACATAAGTAGAATAACAACCATAATTTTTTTTGTTCATTTAAAAAAGGAAGGGTTGAGATTGAATGACACTGAAGAACAGTTTAGCCCCTTCTAATTAAATAAATGTTAGTGACACGTGACTGAGGAAACCCAAAAAATGATTCCGCAAACCCGACGCGCCACGGAGCATCTTCTAAGAGCATTCGCAATAGACTCCCTAAACCACCTCCTTAACTAAAATTTAAGGAGGAATTGAAAAAACCCACATCCAATCATGCTCCCTGTCCAACTCTTAAAATAGAGAGATCTTTAGGAGCTTCTAAATCTGAGGAGAGAGAAGAACTCATAGTGACTTCTTATAATTAAATATTATTATATTTTAAACATTTATTTAATGATGTCTTTAATTCTATCAAAAAAATTTTCTGTATTTTATATTTTTAATCACCTTTCTAACCTATGTCATGCACCATCTTTTCTATTCCTTTTGCTGTTGGTGCTTGGCAAAAGCACAAGCAACTATTTTTTTTTTCGATTCTTTTCACCGTGGACATTTAGCAGCACACAAACACCATTCTTTTTTAGTTCTTTTCCCTGTTGTAGGTTTGCAAAACACAAAAATCATACAATTGTTTTTGTAGTTTATTATTTGAGAATATTTAGTATTTGAATATGAACATTTTATTGCACATCAGGAATTAAAGTTAAAAAAAAGAGTAAAGTATTTATGACAAAAAGAAATAAAGCATTTATGACTCTAAATTAGGGAGAATGATTTGAGTTGAAATTTTTTAGAGATTCGGAGGCGGAATGGGCATGGAGCGTCTTCTAATTTGCTCGCGGCGAGGCAAAGGACGGGTCATACCTGCTCTGCCCAACCCAAATTCCACCACTATTCACTGTCTTCATCTCTTCAGTGTGGGGTCTCCATTACCGTCGGCTTCACTTCTTCAGCTCTCTGAATGGAACCTCACCCACCGCCACATCGTCTTGCTCAATGTCGTTGCTTGGGCTTTAACTCTCTCTCTCTCTCTAGATTTTTTGATATACTTTTTATGCTTTCGGATGAATAGTTCTGTTTCTGATTGAAGCTTAATATGCTTTGGAAATTAGATTCTTTAAAGTCTGTTTTTTCATCAGGGTATTCTGAAAACAAAGCCCAACAATCGCAGCTAACCTTTTTTGAAAAAATTACAGAAATTGGTGGTATGTTTCTGTTATTGAGTCAAGTTTTGTTTTTGGTTTTTTTCTAATAGGCTGCGGTGTCTGCGACGTGGCTCTTCTGTTTTTGGTTTTTTTTTGAATACTCCATGATTTTAATTAGCATTGGCAATTGGAAATTGGCTATGTTTTTCTTGTGCAATCGTTTTTAGGAAGGTGAATTTCCAATGTGGTTTTTTTAAAGGCTTTCAAGAGACCAATTCAATCACTTGAAAAGCTGATGGATGTTATGAGGGAAGAGCTTCCTAACACAATGGTTGTTGTTCGTTTATCCGGGATGGAGATCAGTGACCTCACGATGGAGCTCAGAGATCTTGGGTTGCCGTTACCATTTCACAGCTGCTATTGCTTAATCTGTAAGTGTATGGTTCAAATGTGATGTTCGTGATTGGTATTGTTTGCTTTGATTGACATTGGTTGCTGTGATTGTTGTAACTGCTATAGGTTGCTCTGGCTAACGATTCAGGAAAAGTGCAGTTAAGAAACAGGGTTTCCTTGATCTTTCAAAAGAATTTGCTTGCTAGAGAGTGGTAGAAAAACTTGCGAAAACAAGGGTGAAGAATGAGTTTGTAAACCTCATAGATTTACCTAGAGCGTGTGGTCGAATTCTTTGGCAGTTAACAGCAAAATTAGGATCATGCATGATATATGCAAGCACTCGTTAGCTGATTCAAGCATTTTTGTTACATTGAAATCTTTGTTTTGAGATACCAATTAGAGAAAAGGAAGAAGGAAAGAGAGGTTGTGGTGAGGTCCAATCAGGGGTTTGGGTTTAATGGTGGCGGAGGTGGTGGTGGGAAAGATGATGGAGCTACTGCTAGAATTCTGGGTAATTTAGCTTTGGCTATTGGATTGACTTATCTTTCATTTACTGGGCAGCTTGGTTGGATTTTGGATGCAATTGTTTCCATTTGGGTACTCTCTTTTATTTAGCAACTGATTTGGGGTTCTTCTCACAAATCTTAGTTCCTTTACATTTCTTTAAAAAAACTGGTAGTTTTATACTATTTTTTTGTCTAATATAATCATTTTTATTTTTTACTCTGATCTCAGCATGTAGGATTATATCTCTAATGAAATTAATGCCTTTTCACATCCAGCTCCTTGCAGTGCTTGTACCAATTGTTGGTGTGGGTGCTTTTCTGTGGTGGGCAAGGCAGGATATGGTTCAAGACAGTGTAAGATTACTTCTATTTTTTCTCTTGCTCACTTCTTAAAGCTCATAGTTTTCTTCAACTATGGTATTAAACATCTATTGTCGCCTAGTGAAAACACAACTCAAGTTGTTGAGTGCTTTAATTTCCATGCTCTCAATTTGGTCATTCCCTCTACGAGTTTGGCACCTACAAGTGACTAGTAAAACCTTTTTAATTATTTAAGTCAGCATCAATTATTTTTTTAACAATATATTAGGTCTTACATGATGTTTTGGCATTTGTGGACGGTTAATTTATCAATCTACAGATCTTCTAGTGGATGGTGTACCGAAATGCTCTATGATTTTCTTTTATTTGGAGTTGACAATTAAGTAATGTTTGCGTGCTCTTGATTTCAAAAAACTGTATCACAAGTGCTATATAAACAGATAGTCCGGATTGGTGTTGGATAGTTTCCATGGATGGGCATGTAGAAATCTATTGTGTTATAATGAGTTTATTCTTTCCCATGTGAGATGTATCAGATAAATGCATGATATGTGTAGGATGTTTGAAAAAGGTTTGAGTACGCAAGTGATACTCTTTCATGTAACAATTCACAAACGCTTCATCCACATCTTGTAATCAAGTAATTTCGGAGTAACATCCTGAGGGTGATTTTCAATTGTGAAGGTTTATTTATTTCTTACTCTGATGTCTTCTGCCTTTAATGAACAACAGCCATTGTTCCCATAAAGTGCCATATAGTGAGGACTTGAGAAAATAGTTATGCACCATATGTTGTTCCCAAAAAGTGCCATATAGTAGGGATGGATTTCCTGATTTAAAAGCAACAACCATAGATTGAGTAGGTTCCTTTTGCAGGTTCGAGTTTTTTCTATTAGTGTTTTTTCCTTTTGCAGGTTCTCTATGATCTTTTTTATACTCCTTTCGAAGGTTTACTATGAAAAATTTGTTACCTTTTCTTGCACCTAATTTTATTTGTATATATATTTTTGTTTATAATCTTAGCTTTCTTTCTTTGTCATTTTGATTTATTTACATGGATGATGGAGGAAGGCTTGGATTAGGAGTACTAGATGTAGGTCTTGTTACGCTTCTTTATGTATTACTGTTTCGAGAGGATTGTACTACTTTCTCTTAATGCATTACGGAAGTGCTTAGAGATTCATTTGAAAATAAGATGTATGTTATGCCTGGTATTCTTCTTCTTTTCATTTAATTTTTTTTATTCCATTTCTTTCTAAAATTTCTGGATTTAGAAATGAAGGAATTTAAGGATTTAGTACCCCAAATGTGCGAAGGATTTATCCTTTTATTTCTTTAATCTCGAAAAATCACTTCCTGCGACAGGTAATCTCGTAGAAATGGTGGTAGCATTGAGTTAACCACAATGATGAATTACTCCAAAACTATCGTTTTTAGCACGTAATTGTAAGTTATGTAATGCAATTGCACTTTCTGCCAAAGAATAGGTAATGACTAGACACAGCATAAGCAGCATGACTCATGAGTATAGGATTGGTGTGGAAGAGATGTTGGTCAGGAACAGCGTCATGGTTGATCAACAACTGCTGATGATTCACGAACTAAAAATTAATCATCCTCGCATAAGAAATATGATTCATTGCCATGCTTAGCTCCTCCCAACTGTGCTGGAGTCGGGCTGAGAAATTTCTCTGGGTGGGTGTGGCGAGATTCAAAGCGCAGAGGGCGCTATTTAACATTACATTACCGTCCTGGCTTTTGACCCCCACCCCTATACTTGTTAACCCATGTTGCCGACACAAAATTACGATTTCCACCACTGGATTACCATGATTTTGTTTTGGCTGTTGAACACCCTAGCAGAATTGCTATACTCTTATCTTTAGTCATTTTGGCTAGAATGAGGGCAAAACGCAGCTCCAATAGACTTGTTATTTGGCTCTTTATTCTGGAGAACTCCCTATTTAAGTTTGGTGGCCCTCTACATTTAGAGAGGAGGAGGGAGAAATCGAGGGTTCTCTATTTCTTCCTTTTCTCTCTCCCTAGGCACACAACATTCTCTCACCTCTTACTTTTTCATTTTTTAATAAACTTTTAATTTAGAGAGGATGAAAGAGAAATAATTAAATATTAGAGATTAGCCAAAGTAGAGAACATTGTTGGAGGAAACTACTTCTAAATAATTTGCTATAATGACTCTCTAGCTATTTTAGCTAAAATTAGAGACTCTTGTAAATGCTCTTACTTGTTAACCCATGTCGCCGCTACAAAATTACGATTAACCCATACTTGTTAACCCATGGCGCTGCAACAAAATTACGATGTCTGCCACTGGCGAAGGGGAATCTATCAAAATTGGGTGAATTCAGGTTTAAAAATTAAACTTCAGAAAATAACCTAGTCAAATGGCAAAGGTGGTCTCAGAGTTATCAAGTAAGCTGAGCATAATATTCATCTCTACCAAAACAGAGAAGTACAAAATTGGTGATATTATAATTTAAAAGGAGAAATTCCTCCAATTTTCGGTCTATGTTAACTTTCTGTGGATATTTATTTTTTAAATGTTCGACGTACTTTATTCTTGTGATTGTGCAGAGTGGGTGGTGATTGAGATTTCCCTAACTTTAAAATTATTAGTGGTTATGCTATTGACTTTTTGGGGGTTTAAGATTACTTTCATGCCTCCTCTGTTTGGTTATTTTATTCCTTTTAAATTTTATTGTCTTGCTATATGAAATAGAAACCATGATTATTTGGTAGTTTTTTTATAGGTTTTTTAGGTTTTAGACATAAATTTTTTTTCACTTTTGGAAAAAGCCAAAGCTTTTTCAAAAAAGACAAAAAAACCGCTCAACTTTCAAATCAAAGACATGCAAATATATTGGATTCCTTAAGAAATCTAAAAATAAATAAGGGCATTTTGTCCATTTTTGCTTCTTTTAAAATTTTTCTCTCTCCTTTTGCTTTTTCTAAAATGTCCCTTTTTTTATTTGGATAATGGAATCTGACTGCAAAAAGAAAAAAAAACAAATAAAGAGGAAAAGTTATTCAAAAGTCATGAATTAAGAAAGGGAATGGAGGTGTGTAATGAAGTTGAAGCATATACTCAATGAACTCTTATGCAACAAATAATATTTGAAAAGATGCAAAAAATAATATTTGACAACGATGCTATTTATGTTCAAAGCAAGGGTTTCATGATGACTTTGGCCTACCACAAAGAGACTATTTAAGAGGAATACCAACAAACATGCTCTAACTTTGTTTTTGGTGAACGGAGTTGAATACGACGTCGCTGTGTAAGGTGGCAACACAAAAGATCCGCAGCAAACTTTTCCACATTATCTGATATCTGAAAAGGAATGGCTTTGCCTTTGCCTTCGTCTCTCCCTCGGCTCTCACTCCTCTCCAAACCTTCACTTCACCACCTCAACATTCACATTACCAATAAACAAATAAGTCATTCGACCAAAAGAAACAAAACAAATAAAAAAGTAATGAAATAAACTATAATTATTTTCAAATGGAAGAAAGGGCAAAACAAAACACCCTTTTCTTTTCATTTTTGGTAAATTGGGGGGTCCCAAAGCCCCAAAAACAGACTACTCAGGATGGTTAAACAAAACACCCCTTTCTTCTATTTTTTATATATAGCGGGACCTACAATTGCTGCTTCGAGTGGCAATTCTGTGGCTGGCCTCCTCACACGGCGGCAGTAGGGAAACAGAGAAAGGAGTTGAGGCACAAGAGGCACCAGTTTGGGGGCGAAAGCCAGCAAGGTGAGCAGCTAGGGCCAGGAGGAGGGTGGAGACAAGAGAAGGCCCAAGAGTGACGCGAGTGAGAGTGAGCCAGACGCAATGGACCTATTGCGCGCATGAATGGCCCTGCCATTGAGACTGAGGAGGAGCAGTTCGAGGCTGAAGGCCAAGGAATAGGTGGATGCTACACAGCATAAGCAGCATGAGTATAGGGTGGTTTGGAAGAGATGTTGGTCTGGAAATCACACCTGGACCAGCGTTATGGCTGTGGGAATGGTGAAGCTAAAAATGCGATGGTGGATCATAGGGTTGGTTTGTTGTGCCGGAAAGTAGTTGATCAACAAGTGCAGATGATGATTCACGAAAATATTATTAGTATTACTCTGAAAATGAATCATCCTCACATGACCAAAACGATTCATTGCCATCTTTGGCTCCTCCTCATTGCCAACTTTGGCTACTCTCTTCATTATAAATATTATGACTGATAGATTGTTGGGATAACCATACTTGAAGCCAAGATTAGACACACCAAAGCCGAAAATGCTTGTAAAATCTTATCCACAAATCATAGGACTGTGTTCAATTGAATACTGTTCATGAAGCACTCTGCCTCGCGCTGAAAGATTCTAATCTTTAAATGCAGGGACAAAAGTGTGAATATCATCAGCTGAGAATATTTACAAAATTTCCCACAAGTGATGTCAAAATCCAATGAGATGCTTACAGAAAATCAGCAAAAGTACATATAGATAGCCAGGTTGTGCAAAACTAAAAAAGAAATCACAAGGTTGTGAATAATCTCATTTCATCAATTTGGACTACTTCTCATTTCCTAATTAAGTGGGAAAGTGTATTTACAGATAAGAATTTACCTGCATGTGAATATTCATTACCTTCAAAGGCGCTAAAGATATCAGGATGGGAATCATCAAGATGAAGAACACCCGCAGGTCGCCCAAGCTTCTCGTCGCCACCTAACATGAATGGGCACAGTGGATCCTGAAAGGGCATATAAAGGTTCTTCCAAAAAATCCTAAAGGTAGCCAGTGTTATGCATATACTCATTGGAATCAAAAGTCTCGACCAAATAAGGACAACATTTACTCTCAGTATATCTGTTAGTGAAGCTTTCCAGGAAACAAATTGTGCATACAAGAACATATCCCGGATCATTTTCCAGAATGAAGTTCAACCAATTATCTTGCTAGGTTGATGGAAGATTCAAAATAACTCAAGACATCAGGACATTCGTGCCGCCCGCTGATGGCAATCGAGTTTTCATTTTTCTTTGACATCTTCAAAGTAATGCATCACAGTATAGTATACCACTCTGAGTTTGAATTTCAATATGATATTAAATGGTTTCTCTGATGGAATGTTTTGCCCATTTTCAAAAATCCACGCACCAGGAAGAAAGCACAAAAAGTTGAGATTGCAGCTATAAAGGCTCACATATATATACTTGATGATAAAGGAGGTACTATGAGGAATCCTCATATACGGCAAAGGATCCCTGAAGTGTTCAAATCTGAGGCCTGAAAATGGCACCATACTGCAGGCAGGGTACTATACATCCAAGCATTATGAATTGTACCAGCTCAGCTTCAAAGTACACTTCTAAAAGACAATAAGTTTCAAAATATTTAAAAATTGCAAGCACTTGTTTCACACTGGTATAGTTTTCAAGGTTATAAAAGGGATATAACTACATGTCATGCGCAATGAACATATGGTAGCTGAACTAATTGCTGCTCAAACTCAGTCCAGGGTAAGCTTTTGAAGCACATCTTGTTACACTAACAATTTTGAAACAAAGAAAAAGAACAGGGATCTATCAAGATTTGGTGAATTCAGGTTTAAAACTTCAACTTTAGACAATAACCTAGGCAAATGGAAAAAGGTGGTCTCAGAGTTATCAAGCTAGCTGAGCATAATATTCATCTCTACCGAACAGAGAAGTACAAAACTGGTGATATATAATCATAAGCCTGCAGCAAATAAGTGATTAGAAAGGAGAAATTCCTCCAGTTTTCAGTCTCTATTAGATTGGAAGTGAAATGGCTTATAAAGTAAAGAAACTAGTTTGAATCCCAATATTCTTACACTAAAGAACCCTGAATGGCAGAACATTTGAAGAACACCAAGCCTGCAAACCCAGCTTCAAACCTCTCGAGAATACAGAAATACCTGAAGAAAGCCTCAACGTTTCAAATCCTAGGTTCAAATTCGAGACATCCCATCTTTGAATCCCTCGTGAAAAAATCAAAAATCAAAAATAAAAAAATTTGAACCAAAAAAAGAATATAAATTGAAGGGAATGAGGAGAGGGAAGCACCTTGTGGGCATAAGAGTGACCAGATTAGGTGACATGTTCCGTTCCTGAAAGTTTTGACACAAGACTTGAGGAAAGTGGCCGGAGCAGATAGAGGGACCATTTTGTCCTTTTACTTTTTGCTGAGTTTGCCAATAAATAAATGGGCCGTTGTTGCCGTTGCCTCTGAATATATTGATGGGTCGTTTGGGCTTTGTTTAAACGGAATGAAATTGTGCGTTTAGGAGACATTCACTTCGTAAAATTTTAAGTCTCTTGAGATTAACTATAGTCTATAATTCTTCAACAACAGAAAAACAAAAACAAAAACAAAAAAACAAATAAATCATTCGACCACAACAAAAACAAAAAGTAACAAAGGAAAAACAAAACACCCTTTTTGTCTTTGCTGAGACAAAGGACCAGTTTGGTATTGCTGTGCTATAAAAATAATCACTGTCAGATTTGCTGTGAGAGAAATCAGCTGTGAGATAAAGCATTTTGGCGTTTGGTAAAATTTTTGTTAAAAGTGTTGTTGGTATTGATTTTATGCAAAATTAGAAAATGATTGCTGCATAATCATTAAACCCAACACCTCTTCGAAATTGATTCCTGCATAATCAGAAAATGAAAACACCTCATTAACTGCTTTCCTTTATAGCTTTCTCTCACAACAATTTTTAACAATAAGTGATTTTTTCGCAATTTACCAAACGGGTTGAGCTTCTCAAATTTTTTTAAAAATCACTTATCATCCCAAATAAGCAATGCCAAACTGGCACAAAAACGAACTTTCATTACATAAATATAGGGCAATTACAGAAAATTGCACAGGAAAGACAGATTTAGAAATACATAACAATAAACTATAATATCTTTCTTTCTCTCTTCTTTTATAACACCATCTTTTTCTTCTTAAAATAAATAAACTAAAATATTCTAGTCATCGTTACACACAACACCGTCTATCCTATTTTTGCTGCTTAGAGTGGTAATAGAGTTGTTGGCCGGCGGCGGTGGCGGCTGCGAAACAGAGAAAGGAGTTGAGGCACAAGAGCCACCAGTTTGGGGGCGAAAAGCAGCAGGGTGAGCAGCAAGAAGCACAAAAGGGGAGGCAGCCAGGGCCAGGAGGAGGGTGGAGACAAGAGAAGGCTCAAGAGTGAAGCGAGAGAGAGCGAGCCAGACGCAATGGACCAATTGCGAGGGCGCACTACGTCAGCATGGGGAGTGCCCCTGCCGAGCAGCTCGAGACTGAAGGCCAAGGAATAAGCAATGACGCTACACAACATAAGCAGCATGAGTATAGGGTTGGTGTGGAAGAGAAGTTGGTCTGGAAATCGCAGCTGGACCAGCGTCATGGTTGTGGGAATGGTGAAGGCAAAGATGCAATGGTGGATCATATTCATAGGGTTGGTTTGTTGTGCTGGAAAGTAGTTGATCAACAACTGCTGGTGATTCACAAACTGAAAATTAATCATCCTCACATAAGAAAAATGATATATTGCCATGTTTGGCTTGGAGTGGGGAGGAGAAATTTTTCTTTGGGTGGGTTTGGCAAGATTCAAAGCTTAGGGCGCTATTTAACATTACCATGGCTCCAAGTTGTCAACACGGACGAGCACAAGCGCCAAACCCAGGCACGATTTTCTTTTTGGTAAGGGCCTATTTTCTTTTTGATAAGGCACGATTTTCTTTTTGGTAAGGGCCTATTTTCTTTTTGGTAAGGACCAAAGATGACATGGCACCCAGGCACGATTGATGACAATGCTTTTCGGTGTTTTTTTTTTTGGTCAAGTGCCAAGCCAATGCTTTTGGTTGTTTTTAACTTTTGCTCCGTTATCAATAAGCCACCCGGTGGGGCCGTGGACCAACAATTCCTCGAAAGTGCTAAAAATTTCCTTTGGTACCAACTACAAAATTACGATTTCCTACCATTACTTGTTTACACATGTCGGCCCAAAATTACGATTTCTGCCACAGGTGAGAACACTAACGGCTGAAGAGAAAAGACAAACTTACAATACAAACGGGTATGTTGCACTTTCCCTTAGCCCCTGTGCCCTGGTGCGCATTCTCAATCCTGCCTTTCTTTCCAAAGTTTTTCTATTTAAATTCCGCACTTCTCTTTGTTCACCTCATATTCTAAATTCCCGGAACTAGGGGATTTTTGCTGCATGGTAGTGGGTGAAGGTGAAGGGGTTTTAAGCACATTTGACCATAACTTAAGCACGCTGGTGGTGGGTGAAGGGGGGTTTTTGCTGTTGGGCAGGAAGGGGTTTTAACTTCCCGGAAGTTATGCATTTAGCTGCATGAAGAGCTGTAACGAGTGACAAACAAAAACGTACTCTGAACAATTCAAGCAGACGCAAAGAATGCCAATATATTCACAAATCAAATCAATAAAACAAAGCTGCGATACGTTTATAATATATAGGCATATAAAGATGCCTTAGATAAGTAAAAGACCTAACTACCCTCATAAGACTTGACTCAAATATATTTTAATATTGACTATACAATTGCACACATATATCGCTTATCGTGAAGACTTGTAACCACTTACGGATCTAGGAATTTTTAGCGGATGTGCAATTTTGAAAGGCTAAAAACTTTTTATGGATTGAACATCTAAGGTTTTTTACCTAGATTGACTTCAAGTACCTTCATGCATTCATATCATACATGAAAAATTGTTTTATGTAAATTTTTTGACTAGTATGAAAAATGAACAATCATTTTCTCAAGATAATTTTTTGCGGCTTTTATTCCTTACACATCAAATAAGAAAATTTGATTTTATGGGATTTTAGTATGAAATATATGTTAACTTAATGAGCCATCATTTTTAGCCTAAATCGTATTTTGTACTAAAATCAATTTTTCATATTTTGATTTGGTGGGAATTTGATTTTCTAGGATTTTTATTTAAATCCAAATTGGGGGTACTTCCTTATTACATTGTAAACTTAAGTAAATGGAGTATTATAAAAATAAATGAAAGTAAAAGGACAAAGAGATTGACCACAATGACTATTTCTTTTTTTCTTAGGCATGAGGATTATGAAATATAGCTTTTTTAGATATATACCATTTTTTAATAAAAATTTCATATATAAGTTAATTATTTTTAACTAAACATTAAATATTTTTCAATTTAAAAATGGACAAAATTGTGGCATTGGATTGAATTTGTTATCAACTGCAAATGCAGTGACAAAATAAAAAATAAAATAAAATCACAGAGACCAAATTTGATTCCTAGCTAAACCCTAATGACCAAAAATGTAATTAACCCATATAAATATATCTTGTTGCATGGAAGTTTACAAAACACTCCCAAATCCTAACAGGTAAAATCCCAAAAGGTCAACCCACCCACAATTTGTTAACCTATTCACTATAGTAAGGGTGTACGTCGATTCAAAACCAATACAATTTTGTCAATCCGCATCCAATCCAATATAGATTGGATTGTGATTTTTTCAATCCGATCCAATTGATATTGGGTTGGAGTCGTGAGAGAGGTTGATATATGGGTTGAAGTTGTGAGATGGGGAATAAGTTTGGTGATTGTATATGGAGGATTTTACCTCTCAATTTAACAATAAAATTAACAGACTTTGACGGTAGGATCATCTTGATACCAAATGAAGAGTTGAAGGACGGTTTAAATGAAAATTTTAGTTAGTGAACTAAAACGATACTGGAACAATAGTTGAGGGAATATTTTGGTCAATAACCCACTCTTTCTATCATGTATATAGAACGCTCAAAGTCCCAAGTGAGTAGTTGGACTAAACTACCCTTCCATCCGACGTCTGAAGAAGAAGAGCCCTCTCAGCACTTTTTTTATTCTTTGACTTTCCAAACACAATCTTGGTATATATAGAACGCTCAAAGTCCCACGTGAGTATTTGGACTAAACTACCCTTCCATCCGGCGTGTGAAGAAGAACAGCCCTCTCCGCCAAGACACATTTTTTTGTTTGACTTTCCATACACAATTTTTTTTTCTTTCTATAGTACTTTATTTATACAATGAAAAAGAAAAAAATGAAATTTCTAGGAAACGACCTGGAAATCGCGTATAATTAAAATGAAGGTGGAAACACAAACACGCAATCGGAGAGCACATACAGATCGTAGGTTCACATTTATATATAGGCTAAAAGACAACCAAAAAAAAAAAAAAAAAAAAAAAGAAAACAAATAAGATTCTATTTGGATGGATAAATTTAGAGATTCCTAATACAATCTCTAATTTAAAAATAATTAGGTTCAATTCAATGAATCATTTTTTTCAGAAAAGAATATATAAAACTTAATCCAAATAGGATTTTAATTAATCGTTTTTTTTAGTTAGAATGATTCATCTGATATTCATTCATATGTTTCTTTTATTTTTCACCACGTAATTAATACAAAACTTAATGCACTATTAACGTTACGTTGAAGCATTTAGTTATAAATTTTTTGGCCACAAGTCGTCCCCTGAATTTCTTTTCTTTGAGAATCAAAAGTCCTATGTTTTTCTAATTTATATTACACATGAAGGCAGAGACATGTTACCGTAAACAAGGGATCCCTTAAATATCTGATTTTTTTACAGAGATAATTTTTGAGATAATATCTAAAAACTAGACAGTTCCAAATACAATAGCGTCATGGTTGGTCGATTGAACCACTTAAACATGCCATCTTGTATTGTATGGCTCCCATAATGTTATGTGTCCATCTGTCATCTCGCGTTCTTGGCCATTTCATTTTTCACATGAAGATATATAGAATATGTTTAATTTCTATCTTCATTATTATTCTTATTCAATTATATATCTTGGCGGTGATGGTCACTGTTGACTAGCTGGAGAAATTATAGAATAGTACCGTAACACCACGTGAGCTGGTATGTGATTTGGTTTATGAAATTATAGGAAATATTCCAAGGCCTTTCACCAAAAGGAGGGCTTTACACTGGGGGGGCTCTATTTATAAGTGTGCCCATGTTTCTCTTATGGAATGTTTTAACCAGTTTCAAAAATCCATGCACCAGGAGGAAAGCACAAAACAAATTAGCAGTAGGAACTCCAACAAAGTGGTAACTCCTAACCAGTTTCCACTTTCATAGCCATCGAAAACTTCAATAAAGAAAGGAAATCATTAGGTTTTAGTTTGACAACTTCGGCAATTTAACGGATGAAGTGTTTTTTGCTCTCTTTTGCAAAGTAATCCTCTATGAGATATTGGCTAAATGCCATCTGCACTAAATTTAACATTTCACAAAAATGACAATTCTCGGTGAATAATGACACAAACTCAAAAGTATTCCAATGAACTAATGATTATTTCAGGAACATTTTGTTGAGAAGAATTTTATGTTTCTGAAAAGTGTCGTTATAACTTATAATCAGTACAATGGAGTCTCAATTCCGAGTCCAGTAATGCACAATGAAGTTTTCTGAAGTGTTCAAATCTGCGGCCTGAAAATGCATCACGTTGCAGACAGGGTACTATACATCTAAGCATTATGACTTGTACCAGCTCCGCTTCAAAGTACACTTGTGAAAAAGATAGTTTCAATGTAAAAATTGCAAGCAATTGTGTCACACTGGTAAAGTTTTCAAGGTTATAAAGGGGATATGACTATATGTCATGCTCAATGAACATATTGTAGTTAAACTAATTGCTGCTCAAACTCAGTCCAGGGTAAGCATTTGAAGCACATCAAGTTACACTAACAATTTAGAAACAAGGAAAAAGAATAGGGTTCTATCGAAATTTGGTGAATTCAGGTTTAAAAAAAAACACTTTAGAGAATAACCCAGGCGAATGGCAAAAGGTGGTCTCAGAGTTCAGAGTTATCAAGCTAGACGAGCATAAATATTCATCTCTACCAAACAGAGAAATACAAAACTGGTGATATATAACCATAAGCCTGCAGCAAATAAGCGATTACAAAGGAGAAATTCCCCCAGTTTTCAGTCAACTGGGCTTGACTATAAGTGTACCTAATTATTTAACAGTGCCCCCAACTTATTCTACCAACAGAACAAGGAGAGGTTTGGAAACAGAACAGCAGAATTGTAATAGTTTTTCCACAGAAATCTTCTAAAATTGCTTTTTTCTTTTTCCTAAGATCAATACTTGCAGCAGTTTTTTTCAATTGGAAACTTGTAGAAATTATAACCTACCTGTTCCATCACAAGCTTGACAGACTCATTTATGACATTCATCAGTCTCTCATCTTCGACTCCATTTGAACAGGAACATCACTGACATCAGTTAGCACCCGAGGGTCATTTAGTTTTTCCCCTGCATTGCCAGAATCATGTTACAATGATTTCAATTCATGCACCACCATTACATGTAATTTTGGGAAAATTAAAGAAAAAATCATCATCATCAAGAACAACAAGCGTTATATATAATTGTTTGGCTTAAAGGCTTAATCATGGCTGCGCTCATATGTGGTTAGCTATTTGCTTATGTCAACTTGTTAGGTATATCACAAGTAAACTGAATTAGTAGAGATTGTTCATATATATTATATACAAACACAATGCAGAAACCATGACATGAAACAGGCATGGACCCTTGCCTCCAATAGGGTTTTCTCAATATGTAATCCCTATTAGCCCTATTAGGGCATGTTTACGTATAAG